TTTTGTAGAGCTGTGTGGTTACTTCAGGCGTGTTAATGCAAATGCTCTGTGCAAGTCAGGGGTTCACGTGGAGCAGCCCTCAAAGAACAAGCAGATCCAATACAAAAGGGGTTTTTGCTGGTTCATCTATGAAACTAAATGCCCAGCTTTTAACACTGTTTTTCCATATTTCACCCTTGAGTGACGTGATGGATCTTGGGCCATCTGAGGAAGATGATGACGATGATGACAGTGAAACCATAGCCACTCAGAAAGACGCAGCAATAACCCTTACAGTTAAAGGTTTCCATTGGTCATTCAATTCCACAGACGAAGTGACTGACAATTGTAGAAACAGTAATTGTTCAGAAAAGCCAGTATCCAAAAAGCCAGCATCGCCCCCAGCTGACAGCTCTGATGGTCTTGCCCCTGCCTTTTCATGCTCCATGTTCTGTGTGCAATCTTTCTGGATTCAAATCACACTTATTTCTTAAATCTCTGCATGCCTCCCCAGTATTGCCTTACATTTTATGAGGAAACTTGTGTTGCTGTGTGCTGAACCCCATTGCCCCATGTGCTCGTGTGCAGCTGACTGCCAAGCAGAGCAGGGTATTAAGCAACCAGTGACAGTACTCCAAAAGTGTAGCCAGGGCAGTAACAGGTAGCAAGGTATGCGTGGAGTGATGTGACCACCACACCTAACACATCAGCACTCGGAGGCAAGGCTGATGTTTGCACCAGCCCCCTCTAATTGAAGCAGAGCCTTGCAGGCCAGTTTGGAGCCAGCTGTAATGGCTTCTGCATCTTCCCAGCAGTGTTGCAGAGGCAGGAGGTTGTAGTCCAAAAACCATGGAGCTGCACAGACCTTCCTTAAACTAGCACAATGACCTCCGTCTTTGAGGGTACAACAGAGGAGGGATTTGGGGGCCTCTCTGTAGTGCTCAGCAAGGACTTACAAGGCATGATGTGCAGAGCCTGCAGGGCTCAGCTCTACAAGGTGCTGCATGCCCCTGCTATCTGCAGCGTACCGCCTGCTTTCTAAAGCACAGATGTGGCTTGGCAGGCAGCTCTCAGGTTGTCCTTTGCTGCTCACCTCTTTCTACATACCTGGAGCTTTGCTGCAGCTAAGGAGTTTTTGTCATGCATATATATACATGGGGGTATATTCCAAACTCTACCATAGGTGTCTCACAGAAAGCCATCCTTCTGTATTATCTTGATGAGAATGAAGCATCCACAGGTAATGAAAGGTCTGACTCTCACCTTCTCCGGGTAACCCTTAGCATCTCAAGAAAGAGCTGATTGAATAAACAGCACATATGTCCCGTGTAGCAGTAGATGGTGTCAGTATGGAGAACGCAAAGAATTTTGACATATGCAAATAAAATAGCTGTTGTACTGACGTGTCTAGAGTCACAGTGCTATCTGTGTTCCTCCCGGCCTTGCATGGTCATGACACGCTTTTCTGGGCAGGGATCATTGCTGGATGCTGTGTTTGCTGTTTTATGTGTAGGATTGAGCAGGATTCAGCACACTATGGGCTTGTGCTATTGCAAATGATAGATAAGAAGAATGAACTGATTTGTCAAAAAGTGTCCAGGTACAGACTGCCTATCCACATTTGGAAACTTCCCCTTGCAAAGGGGTGTGAGGGCTTTACAAAGAGCTGATCAAAGCCAGCAGAATCTGTGTGCTGGATTTTGTGCCCCAGTGTCAATCCCAGCCTACCAGACCCTGAATAGGAAGAGAAATGATCCTTCTACAGTCTTCCAGAATCAGGGAGGGAAAATCAAGTAATGGTACAGTCAGAGAGGATGCTCTGGTGCTGGGAATTGAATAATCCCTGTGCTGGCAGTGCCATTGTCAACCTCCCTGCATTCCTAAGCCAGGAGGAAGCCAGGAGAGGTGTCCCAAGTGAGAAAGGAGGGGTATCTGGGGCACAAAAAAAGTCGTTTATATCCCTAGGGAGGCTGTCAGAATGGCTCCCAGCAGGAGCTGGCTGCATGCCACCTGTGACATTGGGCCAGCCTTGTGCTGGGATCAGGCTGTGGGTACACGCAGAATGAGCATCCGTCTGCTGCAGCATCTGTGACAGCCAGTGAATCACAGTCCACCCAGGGAGCCTGTGCTGCCACTGAACCCAAATATCTGGGCAGAGTTGCATGATGCAGCCAGAGCTCCAGAAAGACAGCTGGGAAATGGCTGCATGTCAGCTCTCTTGACATTTTACTGTCAAATATCAAAGTGTGCCGTGCAAGCCTTGTCCTCCCACAGCAGCTTCTGGACCGACATGAAGTGTGTGTTGCTCAGCATGTCAGCAGATTGGAGCTGCTGCTGACAACCAGCTTCAAGCAGCCATTTCCTAGAGGCAGCGGAGACTCGGTGCTTCAGCAGCAAAGCGTGCCATCATCACGGCCTGTATCCTCAAAATTATGCTTTTCAAGTTGTTGCATTGTGTCAACACTAAAAATACAGAAAAGCCTTATGGATGGACATGACCTAAGCATTACAATCAGCTACAAAGGGCGGTGGAGGCCTGCATGAGCAGATAAGCATTATGGGGACCAGCTTTTTTCCCATAATGCTGGGGATCGGGGGGACACAAACAGGATAAACAGGGGCTCCTGCTGCTACTTCTACCATCAGTGGTGCATAAGGTCCAAAACGGGGCATGAACACTGCCCCAGCTGATGAACAGCACTTTCAGCATGTGTGTGCGTGTGCTTAGGCACAGAGTCAGGAGCTGCTGTTGCCCACAGTGGTTCTTGGACAACATGCTCTTGGGAATCCCTGATGTAAAAGATCTCCCCCCAGGAACTGGGCTGACGACAGACTCATTCCTTTCAGCTTCTGCAGCAGCGGCTGTGGGAAAGGAGCCAGAGGCTTGTAAGACAGAGGAGTTACTGAAAGAGGAGTGAAGAGTGATACGGACATTAGGAACACCCCCTATAGTCATAGGTGGGGGAGAGTTTAGGGTCGCACAATGGTCCGGCTGGGTATGGTCCAAAAGGTCCTACTTCAGAGCCTAATCCCGGGTGAAACATCCCAGCAGAAGCAGACCTAAGGGTGAGCATGCCCCTCATGTAGGTCTCATGATGATCTCTGCTAGAGTCTGCCAGAAGGCTTTTCTGGTCGCCAACAGTGGTGTTAGCATTAACTTTTACATCATTGGGTGTTCACTGTACACATCAGGTCCACTTCCATCTTTGTATATTTTTTCCTGCCAGCATCATCCTGTGTCTGTGAGAAGCATTACTATGCGTGGGAGGAAAGTACTTCTTTTGATCTTTTTTTTAGAATATTTTAATTGCTATTCTTATGCCATGAAACTGAAAGAACTGAAGTTCCTGATCTTTTTGTACATCTGTCTCATTGCTTACATTGTTGTTCTAACTTTGCTTATCTAACTTCGTTTCTCAGTTTCCCCTCTGAGCTCCCATGTGCCTTTGCCACTCTGCTCCAAATCCATTATCATCCCATGCTCACAAGTGCTGGTGTAAGGTAGGCAAAGACAGATACTGTGACTGTCACTTTCTGGAGTCTGAAGGTCAGTGGTGGCAGCAGACTGGGTGTCCTGAAGTCCAAAGCAGGATCACAGTGTGTGGTGTCAGAGTGCTGTGAGCACTGAGGATGCCTGGATGATACATGGGATGTGGGTCACTGACCAAGGGTGTTTGGTTTCAGAACAATTGGTGGATCTGTGAGAGCACTAGGTAATTTTTTAATCCCTCAAAATCATCCTGGATCATTGTAGTTAGGTTTCTCCCTCTCCTTTCTGCCTTAGCTGCCTTCCCATGCATTTTTCTGCATTGGCTTCTTGGACGTTAGAAAGGAAGGCAAGACGGGAAACCCCATCCAGACTGTCCTGGAGGTGCTTGCAGGCTGGACCTCTGTGTTAGATGGGGAAGGAGGAATGAATATATTCTCTGCTCACCCACATAAAATGCTGGTGAACAACTTCCTCTAGCTATGCAAGAACCTGCTATTTATTGAACACTGAGGGAGTGGGGATCTTTGTGCCCTGCCTGTACGGCTCCTGGGACTGTGGGCTGTGGCAGTTGTACTGTTGTGAAGTGCAGCAGGTAATGAGAGAAGCAGATAAGCGCCACAGATAATGTGGTGGAGCATCAGAGAACTGTGAACCAGGCACCCAGGACCACAAGAGGAACGAGTTTGAGCTGAGGCTTAACTATCAGCACAAGGTCAGTAGAAGGCAATGTGCTGTATGTCAGCTATTTAACCACCGCCAGTGGCTCCCCGTGGCTCCACTGAAGTTATCCACTCCTTTTCACATGAGAGGCCCTTGTGTGCTCAAGTAGTTGCATATTTTGGCGTGCTTCCCTGGCACCATTAAAAGGGCTCAGGACCTCATGGGGCCTCCCAGATTTTGGAGAGGCATGGTTGTTGCTGCTTTCCTGTTCCAGTCTGTTCCTGCTTTCCAGTCTCTGCCTAGACTTGGGTATTTCTAACGTTGCAAGGCCTAGCAGTGCAGATCAGTGCTTACTTCTTAAAGGAAAGTTCAAAGTGCCTAAAGGGAGGCAAAGACATTTAATCCAGTGTACAGCGTACAGTGCCATGTGCAGTGACATCTTCATTTGGCCCAAAGCCTGTGCAATCCTTTGGCCACTTGAGTGATATCAGTTACTTCAGATAAGTTTGAGAGGGCTCAGCACTTGTGTGGAAGCACAAGTGTTGTTCCAGGAGTCTGCAGGGAGGGGAACATGTTTGTCTCACATTTTGATGCTTTCCCTGAAGAAGGACAACTTGTGATCTTGTGCTCAGGTACTTGTGCTGACAAGGACCAGTCTGTTTGATCCTTGTCAGCACATGAAGTCTTCAGTCAAACCAAGGATCCTTTAAATAGTCACTGCCTTTCCTGAGAGGTGACTTCCTTTGTGTTTTATCTCTCTCTAGGTATTTGATTTCCCTCATGAGAAGTGTCCTCCCTGCCTCTCATGTGCAGCCCTACCTGTCCATGGGTAGCACCAGCTTAACTGATGTCCTGAAGACCATTCCTCACCATGGATAGTCCACCTAAACTGACTGGTGAGACGCTGATTGTCCATCACATTCCCCTGGTGCATTGCCAGGTCCCTGATAGGCAGTGCTGCTCCGTGAGCAAAAGGACCAACCCCTTCTGCCAGCCAGAGCTCAGCATTACACGGACATCTGCCCTTCCAGACAGAGACCTTTCACAGACCGACTCCTTGGTGTACAGCAGCTTTCTCCAGACCTCCGAAACCTCAGCAGAGGCTTCAGACAGCAAAGAAGGCAAAGCAAGGGAATTGATTGTCCCTAGTGTCAGTAAGCGACACAACCCTTTCTTGCTGAGTGAGGGTGAAGACCTCAGCATCTTTGGGGATGACTTGGGTCAAAAATCTTTCCACCTTCACAACTCACTCGTGGCTGGCAAACCCCCCTTTCATCTGCATGAGCTGGCCTTGCCCCCTTTCCACCTCCACGACTCCAACCACATTGTGAAATCCTGGAACATGGCCAGCCGATCTGGTGTGGTAGATGGACAAGAGGACAAAATCAGCAGTGATGATGTTCAGAAGAGGAACAATGCGAATAGGTGCCACCAGGCCTCAGAACGCATGGAGCTGGATGAATGCAGTTGCCATCATGGGAGCTCCTCCAGCTTCTCCTTCGATGGTGGTGACCAGGAGTGGAACCAGAACACAGGTGAATCATTGAGGAATCAAGATGCCCTGCACAGCCGAACATGCAGCTGTTCCAGCTCGGAGCTCCAGCACTGTCGCTGCTACAGTTCATCAAGTCAGTCTGAAGTAATTGACCAACAGATGGGCTACATCAGTGACTCCTCCTGCAACAGCTCTGATGGGGTGCTGGTGAACTTCAGTGCTCTCTACAACAAAATGAATAGTCATTCTCGATCTAACCTGAATTCAGCCAACCTGTCCTGTGACTCTTCCTTCTGCAGCCACTCAGACACAGGAGCTTTTTACCTGGATTTGCATTCATCACCCACAGAATCCAAGATGTCTTGTGAGTCGCATCACCCAGAGAGTTCAGGGAAGGTTTGTGGGTGTCAGCACTCCTCCTCACCTGTCCTTGATGCCAACTGCAACTCTTACCACCTCCACTGTGAGCCTTGCACTTCAGAGAGCTCAGACCTCACTGCCTGCTTCCAGAGCCAAGCACGGCTTGTTGTGGCTACTCAGAATTATTATAAGTTAGTCACATGTGACTTGTCTTCCCAGTCATCCCCCAGCCCGGCAGGATCTTCCATAACTAGCTGCTCGGAAGACCATACCAAAGGTAGCCCAGCCCAGCCCACTGAATACTATCTGTTTAGAAGGCCTGACCTGAGACAAGAAGAAAGCAATGCGGAGTGCAGTGAAGAGGAGGCAAAGGGGGAATCCACCCAGAACATGATTGAGGGTCAGGTCTATGTGAATGTGTCACCACCTAACCTCAACACAAGCCGGCAGCGCTCCAGAAGCTATGATCAGAACCTGGACAGGAGCCCCAGTAGCAGGCTGGGCTCCTTGGAGCGCATGGTGAGCTGTCCAGTCAAGCTGAGCGAAAGTCCAGCAATACCCATCCAGAGTTCTCCCCCAAAGCGAGTGACATCTTTTGCTGAACTGGCTAAAGGCCGTAAAAAGAATGGCACCTCCCCACCACTCCGGTCCAGTGGCGATTCCTCCTTGGAGTTCTCCCCTATCCCTGAGACACAGCGGGATTGCCCAGCCTTCCTTGAAGAAAGAGCTCGCCGCAGCCAGAGTCTTCCACCCATGCCCTTTGTCCATGGCCTGAACCGGAGCTGTGAGGGCTTCTGTTTGAATCATACTTTTGGGGACAGCCAGGCTTTGTGTTCTGCCAAAGACTCGGTCTCCAGCGAGAAGGTCCCCAGTGGGCATGGGGCAGGTGAGCAAGCCTCTCTCTCCCTGCTGACGGAGGCAGATGCCAGCTTCTCAGGTGGCTCTGCCAGTGGCCACGGACAAAGAGATGTTAGAGCCCGAGCAGACGGTAAGGAGCCAAACTAGGCAGAATGGAGAAAAAGAAAGGCTGCTCTTTGGGACATGAGGGGAGCAGCAAAGGAACCTGTATGGCAATAGGAGACCAGTGCCTGTGTAGTTTGTTTCCTGGTCTACCACTCCTTGGGACAAAGGCCTTCTGTGCTTATTTCAGACCCAGATCAGTGCAAGTGACTTGTCCTTGTATTTCTAAAGCCTCTTGAGGTTTTTTGCAAACATCTTGTATTGTGTAAGGGAGGACATGGCATTAGCACTTAGGGTCTGTGCAGCTTGGAGGATTGTCTCCCTTCCAGGGCATTGCACTCCCCCACTCCATGATAATCATCTGCCTTTAGTTCCTAAGACAGAGGTGTGAAGATGCTCGGTAGAGTGATGTTCCCAGTAGCTGAAGGGAAGGGAACCATTGAGGAGTTTTTAACCTTTCTTCTTTGGAGCTGTATGGGGCAGAGGTGGAGACAGGAGAGGCATAGCCAGCAGTTTCCTGTCAATGCAGGGTCAGGAAGGCCACACAGTCTCTGCCAGGACTTACAGCAGAGGTTAGAGGAGCTGTGTATCTGCTGGCCTGTCCTGGTCACATCCTCCACAGTGCATTGGACTTCAGCAAAGGTTCCGAGGGGGGGTAATCGTCACAGTTCCCTCTCCAGGAAAGCCTGTAATACACGAGTTGCTCTCCACCTTGATATTGCTGACACTTGTCCTAGTGAGCAAGCTGTGTGGCAGCCCCATTAGAGGTATGGCCATTTCTCCATCATGGCAGGAGATCTCTGTCTCTGCCCTAGATGGCTCTTGGACCTGCTTCACAGGTAAGAGCCTGTCTAATACCTGTGACCAGACTGCTACAGTGGATAGACCCTAACATGCTAATGACCAGACTGTCTCCATTTAATAAACTGAAGATTTCTGGCATGAGATAGGAAGAACATGTCATTCATTGCCATGGCAGGTGTGGGAGAGGTTTTGGCCTTTGGAGCAAGGTTTGTAGGTATTGTCCTGTTTGTTTATTGAGCCTTGAACATGTGCTCCATATGGGATGGCAGGGAAGGCAGGTCTTTGCTGGGAGAAGGCAACATGGGAGCAGCCCTCTTGGTTTGCAGAGTGCTAGGAAGGAACAAGATCTGCTCAGGAAAGAGGGGCATGACAGGAGCTCTCAAGGCAACATAGTCTAGCAGTTTCTGCACCCACCCTGCTGGGGTCCCTTCCTCTGCACTGTGACAGCAAGGCAGACACTAGTGCTCTGCAGAAAGCTCCTGCCTGCAGCTGGCGATAGAGGCAGAGCTGCCTTGCTCCAGCTGAGAGTAGCATGCAAGCCTAGAGGGTCTGAGATGGGACTAGACGGAAAGCAAGCCCTGCCAAAAGCTAGCTACAGAGAGAAAGGACTGGCATGCCCCACAGGCAGCAGGTAACACCAGCCTGTGCTTGAAACATGTCCTTTGTCCCAGGATGTGCTGTGGGCTGGACGTGTGGGGGGAGGCAAGGGATAAGGTGCCGTACTGCTCTGGGATGTGGTGTGGCTGGTGATCAGGGATCCCAGTCAGCTCCGTGTGTGCATCCAGTGTTGTGTGTGTTGCCCACTGAGTGTAGAGTGTTTCACCTTCAGCTGTATCCCTGTATATGCTGTGGTCCCACCAGGAGCTTGGAGGCATGCAAGCATAGGAGATCAGCCCAGCACACTCCCTTAGGACATCCCTGGCCATCATTTCCTGGAGCAGAGCTGTGCTTTCCAGGGTTGGAAGCTCTTCTGTTTCTGCTGTGGTCCTGATTTGGTTGGGAACATCTTGGTTAGGTCTGGTCCAGGCAGGGGGATGAAGGCAGCTGTGTGTTCAGAGGAGGGACAGCTACAGCAGAAAGAACAGGGAGGGAGAAAGGGAAGCAAACAGCCTTCCCAACAGCACTGAGTGCGATGTGGGATGCAGAGCTGTGATGCTATCACACGTAATGTGTAACGTGGGTGAGTTCTCAGCACATGTGGGAGGGGACAGTCCTTTTGGATACCACAGTGTGTTGGTCCATGTCCTTGTGGTGCTGCCTGGGAGGAAGCAGGTCGAGGGCAGGCACTTGGGGCATGTCTTTATGCTGTCCTGGGAGCAACGGTTGGGGAAGGGATGAGAAGCTGGTGACCCTACCAAGACAGCCAAGCTCCCTGTGCAGCACTCTACTCTTCCAGACAGCAGTCAACAGCTGGAAACCCTGCATCTGGGGCCAGAGGTCTTTACCCTGCCAGATCATGGTGTGTGTAACCAGTTCAGACTTGAACCACTTTGTGTGTGTCATTGGCCTCTAGCTCATCCCCTTCCTCCTGCAGCTGAGAGCATGTTCCCTTTTGCCTGCTATCTGCCGGGCTGATGATGATTGTCCCTTTGCCTGTCCTCACGCTTTGTCCCCGTTTCTCTCTTTGAAGGTGGTGGCACAGACAGCAAGCCTGTGGTACGCTACAGCAAGGACCAGCGTCCCACGACTCTGCCCATCCAGCCCTTTGTTTTCCAGCACCATTTCAGCAAGCCACCCAAGGCCCGTGCCCTGCACAGCCATTTTGCCTCCAGCCTTTCCCAACTCTACAGCTTGTCCAGCAACCGGCCTGCCAGCCAGCAGATCTCCTCCAACTCCCAATCTTCTGCCTCGGCCACCTTGGCAGAGCAGGCGGCAGTGGCGGGGGGTCAAGCCCACAGCACGCTCCTGACCCAGCGCTCAGTGGACGGAGCTGCCTCCCGCAATGATGGCTGCATTAAGAAGCCTGCCCCTGAGACAACCCGGCCATCCCCCCTGGGGAGCTACTCTCCAGTGCGATGCAACGTGCCTTTCTTTCAAAGCATGGACTCCTCTTCCTCACCTACTGCGGAGAGACCTGGAGAGAGCCAGCCCCCCAGGAGCAGGTCCTGCCCCATCTCTGCCAACCTGCTTCCCACGAGGTCTTCCCCTGCTGTCAGTGCCATGCAGCCCTCCCAAGCCACCAAACCTGATGCCCTGAGGCAAAAGGAGAACCCCAAGCCCGTTCCCAAGAAGGAGGCACCACTGGAGCCAAGCCCACAGCTCTCCGAGTACCGACTCCACAGTGGGTCCCTCCCGCCCCTCTCGGTGGGTGGTGTGCCTGTGAGCAGAGTAGGAGGTCACACAGATCCCCACTGGAGAAGTGGCAGTGAGACCAGCAGCTCTGGTCCCCTGAGCAGCATGGGGATACGGTCCCTCAATGGTAGGTACCCGTCCACCAGGACATGCTAGTCTGGAACATCTCCAGCTCCCTATGGCTGTGGCTGCTCCCCATAGTACCACCCTCTGCTATAGCCCCAGCCCAGGGTAAAATTGCATGTGGGTGTTGTAGTGCCCAACAGCCCCTACGATGGTTCTTTACCTGCAAATTCCTGCGCTAAGAGCATGTCCCTCCAGTCCTGACTCCTGCACTGTGTCTCCAGAGGGGGCAGAGTGAGGCTGCTGATCTTACAGCACCCCATGCCAGGTGCTTGCACCCTAAACCTGCTCTGTCTATGCCCTCAGCTACAAGGCCACCCAGGCTCCTGCCCTGCTCTGCCAGGCTGTGTAGCCTCCACCTCCCTCCATATATGTTTGCTAACGCCCTGAAATGCTGCTGGACTTTTAACTAATGTGCTGTCTCTCTTTCTCTGTCCTTCCTCTTTCTCATCTTCTCCCTCATTGTTTTCCCTCCACGTCCTCCCATCTGCTCACATCCTCCCGTCTGGTGCTCACTGCCTGCAACATCCTAGCAAACCACCTCTCTCCCCAAGCGCTGAAGTGGCGGGAGTACAGGCGGAGGAACCCCCTGGGTCTGGACCGCATTTCGGGGCTGCCTGGCTTAGCAGGCAGCCTAGACAGGAAGCAGCAAGAGCCTCGGCTGAACCGAGGGAACCACATCTTTGAGCTCCCTGGCACTCTCAACACCAGCCATTTCAACTGCAAGCTGAACGGTGCGCACCACCTTTCTGCTGGGGGGTCTTGGGAGGTGACCCTGGGGCTCAGGTTCAGCATCACTTTGGGGCTCAGCTTCACCCTGGCTTCATCACTGCTCTCCCTGGTTTGAGCAGGAGGGATGATGCATCTGCTCACAGTGGGGTCGAGGTGTAGAAGAGGAAGGTGAAATTTGCCTCACTGACGGGTACAATCTGTGTGCAGCCTCCCTTCTCCGTGAAATGAGAGCCATCAGATCTGGCTCTGGGCTGGACTGAAGGGGAAAGTCAATAGCCCAAGAGCCTGCTCAGACCTCAGCAAATGCTCCTGGGCTGTGTCCATGTTCTAGTTCGTGTCTCACACAGGATTTCTGGCCCTTGGAGTTCTCATGTCTGTGTCCCACAGTGTCTGCCCATCTGCCTCAACCCTGGCAGTGTGCTAGGTGCTGAGCTGTAGTTTGCATGAGGCAACTGGCCACACTGTAGGGCTCCACAGAACTCTGTCTTCTCCATGCTTTGCTCTTAAGGTCTTCCTTGTCCTTCAAAACCTGTGCAGGAAGGGCTGAGATGGGCAGACTGTTTTTGGCTGCAGAGGACCTTTGACAGTCCTCTGGGAAGAGCAGTGTGGTCTGTCTATGAGAGGGAGTGTTCTTCAGGCCAGCCTCAAATCGTGGAGGGAATTCCCCAAAGTTCTACACCTCACTTGGCCAACCCAAACAATTTCTCCATCCCTCCTTCATGGAAGGATGCCTAGCACAGAGCTGGGTAATCAAGCAGATGGAAATTGAGCACATGAAAGAACTCTTGCAGAAGTCACCCCTTGAAAACAGAGGCAATCCCAGGGGACAGGCAGAAGACATGTAGTTTTTTGCCTGTGCATGTCTGTGTATGACAAGTAGGGATTCTCTGTGTGCTCTACTTTTGACCCCACTTGCTGGGGCTATCTGCACAGCACTCCTGAGAGTCCGGTGCAGCAAAGTTTCCCTGAGCACCAGGCCATGAGCGTGAACATCTTCCGGTGCCCATGGGCCCCGAGTCAAGCGGGAGCTCGATGTTGGGTGGGCTGTGGGGTTGACCTGTATAGGCTCACATTGCAAACAATTTCTGGGAGAGTAACAAGCCTGTAGCCTTGCTGTCCCAGCCTTGAACAGGCTGGGGTGAAGACACCTGCTGGTGCAGGTAGCTTCTGGGAAAAGGAAACAATGGGATTTTGGTATAAGGGCTTGGGGCTGATCGTTCTCCCCCCATCTTGGCCTTGCAGGACACTCTATGAGGCAACTCCAACTTACCTACACTGACTTCTTCCCTGACTACTTCTCACTAGCAGAGAAACCCCCTGCTGAGTTCTGCCTCTCCCCAGATGGCAGCACAGAGTCCATCTCCATTGACTTGCTGCAGAAGAAAGGTGAGTCTGTGCATCTCTCATGGATGAGAATGTGGTGTGGCACAGCACAAGGTGAGCAGTTCTTCTCTCTGTCTTATCTCATCTCTGTAGACAGAATGGTTTCTTCCCCTATGTTTCTATACTGTAGCATCATAACTATATGTCCCCCTGGACTGATGGCTGTTTCCATGGCAAATTCTTGTGCTCTCTGCAGCATGCAGTGTGTCACTGAGCAGCTTGTCCCAGGAAGTGTGATTAGAAAGGATCTTAAGTCCACAAGAAAGGGCAGAGAGAGCAGGCAGCCACAGGAGTACGACCCTAAGGCAGAGCAAGCTGCTGTCCTTGTCTCAGTATACAAGGGCAGACCTGTGTATCTGTATGATGTTGCAGATGTGCCAGCCTGAGATTTTCTAATTTAGGTAAAAGGTAGTCTGTTGGGTCCTACATGGTAAATTATTTATATAAAAGGCTGGGAGAAAGGATTCCAAATCAGGACAAGATCTGGCTATGATGAGACATATGCTAGAGGCAGGGTTAGGGACTGGGTGACAGCTGACTCGGTATCATTTCAGAGGCAAGGGAGGTGCAGAAAAGTTCTCATGCCTTTGCCAACTACGTGTTGGTCATCACCAGACGGCAGCTTTCCCCTCTATTCCACTTCTGTTCTGATGCAGATGCCAGGTTGCCCACCACTGGCTTGTTCCTGAAAGTCATTACATATCTTGCCAAATGCATAGCTTCTGCCCTGCAACCCTGTAGGATCAAAGCAGCAAAAGACACATTGCCTCAGATCCCGCCTCTACTCCCTCAAGGGATGACATGTGGAGGTGATGGTCCATGTCCCTTGGGGAATACTGACAAGGCATCTTATGCTTCAGCCACTTCTAAAGGTTGTCCTACTGTCAGGCTGATAGGTAAGTGTTGGAACCAGCAGGGAGAGATTTGGTGAGGAGTTAAGAGAGGCTGTGCACGTTTTTGGCAGAGAGGGTTCTTGCAGTGACATGGGCTTTAAATGCCTCTGCCTGATTTTTTCATGAAGTGTTTGGTCAAGGTCTGTCCTAGCAGCACCTCAGGCAGCTGTATGACTTGTGCTTTTGCTCTAGGTCTGGTGAAGGCAATCAACACTGCTGTTGACCTGATTGTGGCTCACTTTGGAACCAGCAGGGATCCAGGGGTGAAGGTATGTCTTGCTTTCAACATCATGAGTGACATGAAGAGGGTGGAGAAAGATAGTTTCTTAATTCTCTTCCAATCAAAAACTACAGGGTATCCAATGAAGGCAGTAGTACTGTCGTGGTAGGGATCGACACCGACCAAAAAATATGTAAGAAGGCAGCCTTTATTAAGTTACAAAAAGCCAAGATGGCTGAGATGGCGCAGCAGAAAAAACATACCCTTTTATAACCTTTCTTATCTGTTCAGCGGTTCATGCACTAAGACTGCTAAAATGATTCGCTCAGTACCTCTGTCCATTCACCTCTATTCACATACTGACTGGCTGGAGCTCCTACTGTATTTCCCACTTGATTCTCTTGCCAAATTTCTGCTCTGTGGTATTCACTTGTTTAATCTCTTCTTGCTCAGTCTCTTATCACCTCCTCAAACCTGTTTACAACATTCTTCATCCACTTCTTTCATCTTCTCACAGGTATACTGGGATGCTGGCAAGGCCAATTTCATCCTCCTCAGTCATGCTATCCCCGACATAGTACCAAGCACAAACCAAAAAAGGCGATGGTACCCCATGCCATAGTAAATCTGTGACAATCTGGATGATTCTGGGCATGCTGAAAGCATACATGGATTTAAGGGAAGATCAGAAAAACATAGGGAAGAGAAATTCATTGAGGTCTACTAAACACAGAAGAGTAATGTCCAGCTTAGGTAGTCTCTTGAGTTCAAAGTGGTTGTCGGCTGCAAGAGTATTAAGGGCTAGTATTATATATGTTTGCTCTGGTTTGACATTTTCTTATATAGAATCATAGAATCATAGAACACTTTCAGTTGGAAGAGACCTTCAGGATCATATTTATGCATGACTCTTTGTAAGAAGGAATACCAGGGCAGCTGGGCTTCTGGTCTAATACAGTACACCAGCTCTTTTTCCTCATACAGTGGAGAGTTGTGTCTCCCTCCTCCACATGTTTCATGATTCTGTTCTGGCATTGGTGCCCAGATACAGTGCAGTGTCCCCAGTCCCTCAATGTGTCACAGGGCTCCGTAATGGTAAAAAAAGTGCACCAGTCGTTGCCTATCTGGGTCAAGTGGGCATCCCCTATAGCTGTTACCATGAACCCACTAGATTCAGACAGCATCTACGTTGCCCATGGGGCTGGCTGTCTTTGGCCTGTGCTCCCCTCACCTCCCATTCCTAGAATAACACAGAAGTAGAGCAAGTTTGCTTGTATTTGTCCAGGCAATGTTTGCAGTCCTGTGACACCCAGCATGTCTGTGGTGCCTCCTCTCAATGCTGAATGCTCTGCTTCAGTCAGGGGACTGTGGGGCAGCAATGTGACACTATTTGGATGTGACAACTGCCCTGGAGAGCCATCCCCAAGGAGAAACCTGACTGGGACAGATTCCAAGCCCATTCAATCCTATCTTAGAGTCCATAGTAATTTGCTCCTAATTACAACTGTTGCTGATGCAGAGATTGCTGTGCAATTGGACCTGTTGGGATTCCCACAGCCTTTAAGTCTTCACTGTGAATTTTGTATTCTCTCAGTGTTGGTTTAGGGACTAATTGCAACATTCCCCCAGTACTTCATTTACCAGACAGTAGTGTGGTTTTTACCTGGGGTTTCGTTATGCATCAGTGTGCCAAGGGCTGAGCATTCACCTGTCAAAAGGCAGCACCCATCCCTGATGCTCCCACGCTCAATGGATCTGACAGGATTATTCCTGACCCAGAAGTTCAGTCTCAGTTCAGGGCCTTTGTGGACCAGTGCCAACTGGCCAGTATAATTCCAGCTCAGCTGGTAAAATCTGTGCCCTGAACACAACTTCCTGGGACTACCAACATGACATGCAAGGCCTGGGGCTGACCCCTTTGGGTAGACCCCTTGGCAGCTCAAAGACTGTATGCAGCTGAATATGTCCCCGCTCTGCTGATGCTGGGCTCTTACGTGCTTCCTCACCTCAACTTGAGCTCTGTCCACCCATTTTCCCCTCACCCTGTTTATTTATAGTAATCCCTAGGAATTATAGCTTGGCATGTCACTGAGTTAAGTGTTCCTTAACCTCTCAGTGCTGTTAGTTCCTGTAATATGGCTTGCTGCTTCCTGCTTCAAAAATAGCAACAAGAAAATCAACAGCAGCAGAAAAATCCCTTATTCTTTTCTTCTTCTAGCAGGCCAGCCTTGTTATATCTGTAGGCAGAACCAGACGTCCCTTCTAATTGGGATATCCTCTTCCCAAGATGGAATATTCTCTTCCCAAGCTGTTGTCTCATCCCAGCCTGGGGAAGACCTTGCAGGGAGCAATCCAGTACTGGTGTATGAGGCAGCAGAGGTGAAGGGGAATAGCCTGCTTGTTCAAGGAGTTGCTGATCATCATAGAAGCCAGGATGTTGCCTGCTGGCTGTCTGTAGTAGGCAAGTGGGGCTGGACTGTTTGCATGCATCTGTACCTTATAGAGCAGTTACCAACACTCTCCCTGTTGCCTGTTGTCCCCTAGGCCAAACTTGGGAACAGCTCTGTGAGCCCCAATGTGGGACATCTCATCCTGAAATACCTGTGCCCTGCTGTCCGGGACATTCTGAGTGATGGGCTCAAGGCTTACGTCCTGGATATGATCATTGGCCAAAGGAGGAACATCCCCTGGAGCGTGGTGGAGGCATCCACTCAGCTAGGTATGGAGGGTGTGCAGCAATGCCCATCCGTCTATGGTACTCCCCTGTTTTGCCTGGGAGGTGCTGTGGAAGATTGACTATAAGGATAGGAATGCAGAATAGTACCTGTCTCCCTACACACAACAGGGTGCACTTTAACATTTTCATGCAGGATGAGAGATCCACTGCTTTATTCTGCCCAAATATTTACTATTCCCCCGAAATTTCTGAATTCTCCTATAACAGGCCCAACCAATAAAAAAAAAAAAAAAAAAAAAAAAAAAAAAAAAGAATGCCCTCCCCCCTCCCCAAGTTTCCAGGGTGTTTCTAGACCTTCATCTTTAGCCCTGCTCAGCTACTGTGTAAGGCAGAGTTGTACTCTAGCCTGGTCTGTAAGAAAACTCGTGCTCACAGCTCACTTGGCTCAAGCATGCTGACGGCACCTGCACCCTCTGCTGGTACCAGTCTGAACCCTGGGTCGCAGAAGTGGCTTCCATTCAGGGTAACTCCTTTCTGAGGCTACAGGTGGCAGGGCCACACCGATTCCTGCATCATGAAGAGCTTACATCCAGGGCTGGGAAGCCTCCTAGCCTGTTTGTGGCAAATCTCCAGCTCTGGGGTTATCTCTGTGATTGCAAATCACACCCCAAAATACAACTACCCACCACAGCAGTAAGCAGAAGTTTACCTGCTAATTTTGAGCCAAGGGCTGTGATTGTCCCTGAAGTGTGGTAGGTAGGTTCTTGCAGTATTGAAACTTTCGCAAAATTTTGGAGTGGCAGTCTGTGACAGAGCTCATCTTTGTGTTTGGTGGAGAGTCAATGCACATAGAGGCATGGGCACCCAGCCAACGTCTGTCTTTGCCTTGAGGCTTCTTCCCATGGTGCTGTGTTGGCTTTGCTGACCACAACTAATCTCAACATTTTGCTTCTCTCCATAGGACCCTCTACCAAGTTACTGCACAGCCTCTATAGCAAGATCAGCCAGTACACAGAGCTCACCAACCACACCATGAGGTTCAACGCATTCATCTTTGGCCTTCTCAAGTAAGCAGGCTCTTTGGGCTGGCTCCATGTCACTGCCTAGGGCTGGCAGCAGGGGCTGGTCCTTGGCTGCAGGCAGGCACAGTTGCCAATGAAAACATTTCAGAAACCTGGGGAGCCACCGCCCAGCTGTAGGTGAGGGAAGGAAGAAGCTGTGAGCCTCAGGGAACTCCAGAAAGATCAAAACCTACCCTATCAGGCCAGGACTGAGAAGGGGTGGCTGCAGTCCACTGAAGAACATTGTCAGCTTGTTTTAGCCCCAAAGCATTAGGTAGGAAGAGTCTGTCTGTCAGGATTCATACAAGGTTAGACATAACATATTCACAAATTACTCCTGGAAATCCCGGCTTATATCACTGCTTCCTGGAGCTGCAGTGAATCCCAGGGCATGAGGCTCTGAAGAAGAAATTCCCCTAGTCCAGGACTCAAAGCTAGCCCTTCCAGGTTGCTAAGGAGTGTGCACACAACTTCTGTTATACAGAAGAAGGCAATGATGTCTTTTTGCCGGTGAAGGGATGAGTGCTGCTAGGATAGGATTTCCCTGCTCCTCTCCAGTGGTCAGCAAGAGCTCTGGCACTAACAGCAGAGTCCCCAAGATCATCTCCAAATGCTGGAGGACCCTTACAAGCAGGAGCAAGCTCTGACCTGCTCTCCTCACCCAGGGTGACCCAGCTCTGCCCTGGTGTCACAAGATAGCAGCATATTTTGGGCCAAGCCTCCAGCAATGGTCCTACGTTTGTAGATGATTTTCCTGTTCCACATGAGCTCTTCTCAGCAAAGCTAAGGTGTGCCAAGGGCATACGAGTCAAATGGTGAGGAAACTTGCTGGAAACATGGTTGTTAGGGGTTATGGTTGCACAGTGCCTCATATAAAGCAAACTGGATGGCTCCATGACAGGCTGGGTGGCTCTGGTCACTGCATGCTGATGAGAGTGAGCCACTATCCTTTCACTAGGTCTTGAGGTTCACAGGTTCACGCTGTGTAAATGCCCTTTTCCAGCCACACTTCTTTTTGTAGAACAGTGAGGATGAAGGGGGTGAATAGTTTTTCACTCTTTCTTTCTTTTCCTACTTGTTTTCCCATTCTGCAGTATCCGGTCCTTGGAGTTCTGGTTCAACCACCTCTACAACCATGAAGGTAAGAGCTGAGAGCTGTGGGCTGCAGTGGGGTCCAAATTCTGCACAACATATAGTACGTCAGGAACACACATTTCTTTTGTTGGTCTCCCAGCCTAGGCTGCTCCCCTCTGCTCTGAGCTGGAGGACTAGACTATATGCAGTCCCAGTGTACCAGGGAAGTCCCAGGTGGAAGTCGGAGCTCCATGCAGCTCCCTCCACCTGAGCCTGGCCATTCACATCATTCCCAGCTTCAGCTAGTACCCAAGGCTATCACCTCCAATGCAGATCTCTCAGTCTACCCACAGGAATAGGGTAGACTCTCCCCAAACTTTTGTGTTACCTGCCCAAAGCTTGAGAGCTTTGTGCGGCTGGAGATGTGCACATTTAGCTGAAAGCCTTCAGGCATGGGAAATGTAAAGAAATGGAAAGGAAAACATCCTGACAAAAAAAAAAACAGCTCTTATCGGATCTATCTGTTTTTTCAGCCAGGAATGTTTCTAGAGCATGCAGCATGACCAAGCTGCCTGATGCCTAAAGCAGCTAAGTACACAGTGAGACAGACACCTGCTGGATCCCCTGAGAGTGCTGCTGGCTCAGCCTGGGCTCAGACTAGGGCTCCATGCACTGCAAGAAGTCCAGCCCAGTATCTTCTGTCAGGTTTGAGGGCTGACAGCAGACACTTTCCAGCTCTGCATGTGCAGTCAGCACTTCTCTCCAGAGCAGACAGGAGAGCAGTAGACTTGCCTTTGTACTGACCAGTGTGGCAAGGTGACCATCTGTTTCAAACTATCACTAAGAGCTGGAAGTGTGGGCAAAAGCTGGGGCTGTCAGGATGCTGAAGGCTAGTCAAAAGCCTCGGAGATAAGGTGCAAGTCCTATCTGTGGCGTAAATTTTGTTATCTCACTGGGGCCAAAGGGCTACAAATCCTGTTCCTTACTCTCTCCCTGGGAGTGAGACCTGACCATGAAGCTGGGGTAAGAGGGAGTGCAGATGTGGTCAAGTAAAGTGAAGGATTAATGGTGCAGGTAGAAACGCTAGTGCATTTTCTGTTAGGATCCACAATTCAGCCCAGCCAGGCCCCTGGAAAGACTGTATTCAGCTGCCACTGAGTACCTCTCTCTGCAAGGAACTGTTATTGGCCAGATCTGCAGCTCCTTGTCAGTTCCAGGTAGTGGGGAAGAGAATTTTAGTGTGTATCAACCCTTTTATGCTCTTTATTTGCACCCTACTCCCATGGCATTTTGTGGCAGAGGTCATCCTGGTGGATAGTCTGACAGGCAGGTCCTGGCTGCAGGTGTGACTGGAAGCAGGACCTGGGCAAGTTTGCCCAGAGCTTACAGAGCATCTGGTGCTTCCTCACCCAGTGCTGAGCCTCACACTGACACCTCACACCGGCTGTGACCAAAACTAGTGTCCAACTCCTTTCCCCACAGCTTCAGTAGCTTCTTGGTGGCTTGGCAAAGATGGCAAGGGCCTCTCCTCTAATTAATGTCTCTTGACCTACAGATATCATCCTGGCACACTACCAGCCAGTGGGCTTCTTGTGCCTGTCTCACAGTGTGTGCCAGCCTCTTTTCGAGGAGCTCCTGCTCCTGCTGCAGCCTCTCTCGCTCCTGCCCTTCAACCTAGACCTCCTTTTCGAGCACCACCTGATGCAGATGGGCAAAGAGCAGCAGCAGCAAAAGGAGCTGCTGCGTGTGAAGCAGGACCTGCTGCTTTCCGCACACTCCACCCTGCAGCTGATGCGGACACGGGGCAGCAGTGAGGATCCCGACGGCTGCAGCACCGCCCCTGAAGCATGCAAAGTGGGTGCCAGAGATGATGACATCTCACCAGGCCACAGCCCCCAGCAAGCTGCAAGTGAGAGGGTCAAGGGGGTGGGGGCCTCCTGCGGAGATGGCGATAAGAGCGGAGGAAGATACGAGAGAGCACATGGGAGGGGAAGAAGGACAAGCAGGCGGGATGGTGGTACCAGCTCATGCAGAGCTCTCAGATTTACATTGAGGGCTCTGCTGAAGGCTCAAAGTTCATCCGCTATGAGAAAAAGAAGGCTTTGAATGCTGTGTCCAGGTCGGTGGAGACACGCAAGCCACCACCCCCCCGCGAAGGGGTGGTGGAGGGTGCAGAGGCTTGCCCCATTGCTGAGGGCACCTTGGAGGAGAGGCCCAAGGATGCCAGCAAGCCAAGTCCTGTAGCTGTGGAAGAGCCCTTGGAAAAGCCCCAGCAGGTACTGGTCAGCGAAGAGGTGAAGGAACGGAGCTGGCCCTTCTGGATGGGCAGCCCCCCAGACTCGGTGCTTACAGAGCTGAAGCGCAGCAAGGAGAAGGAGATGGGGACTCAGCAAAAAGTGGGAGCAGCAGCAGCAGCCCCCCAAGAGGATAGCAGCACCAGTGCATCAGAGGGCAGCCAGCCCATCAAGTGGGGATACTTATTTGGGTCCAGGAAGGTGCAAAAAGAGCCCAGGCAGCCTAACAGGTAGGGACAGGGATGGTTTGGGCTGAAGAGGGGTGGTTAACTCGGGGCTGCAGCAGTGCAGGTGGAAGTCAGGCCAATGGCTGACCGCTGGGCTACTACCAGAGGCAGTGTGTGAACAGGGAGGTCTGTCCCCCCTGCGCAGCCCTGCCAGCCTGCCTGCCTGCCTTAACTCTTGCCACACCACCATTCCCCTCTTTGGCTTGTACCCTTGCTCAGTCCACCTCACTGGCTTTCCTCTCCTGCCTGAGCTGTACCACTGTCTTGGCTCCTAAGCCTCCTCGCTGGGGGAAGCGCTCCTGCTGCCACCCCAGTCACCAACTCATCCCTCATAGAAGTGCATAGTAAGTGAGAACAGAACATACAGCCATTGCTGTTGCACATGAGTGAGGAGGAAGCATAAAGTTAGTTGCCCAATGTAGCTGAGACTTCTCCATATTGCCTCTCCATCTGCACCTTTCTTGATTCTATGGCCACTGGAAATACCCTTCCCAGTCTAGGCTGTGTTGTGTCTGGAGGATGCTGAGCCCTCCACACCAGGAGACAGCCTGGGGACCACAGTGCCCGTTGTGCGTGGAAACAGATGTCTAAGGCATGACCTTGCCGTGCGAGCAGCTGCTCCTTGCCCACAGGTATGCTTCCCTGCCACTACCTGCTTCTGCTTCCTTCTTGCAGGTTGCCCTCCGGCTGGCTGAGCTTGGACAAGTCTGTGTTCCAGCTGGTGGCCCAGACGGTCGGGGCAAGCATGTGGCGAGAAGCAGCCCCGGAGCCAGACCCCCCCCAGCCAGAGCCACCTGAAGTGACCCCCGCAGTGCAGCCAGCCCGGGGGCTGTCTCCCCACCCTCCCTGGTGAGTGGCACCATGTGTCCATCCTGCAGGTGCTGGGATGTGGTGGGTTGGGGTTGGCATGGCTCTGCCTGTTGCACTTTGCCTGGCCCCCTTTGGACTTGTGGACCAGGGGATGGTTTGAAGCATTGATGCAACTTGTGCATCCATCCACCTCAACTCTGCCATCTGCAGGTGAGGGGGAGCTGGGGGCAGCTGGGATCCTGGCTGGGGAGGGAGGCAGGGGGTGTTTTCCTCACTCCTTTGTGCTTGTGGGGATTCCAGGGCTTCAGCAGGGTGAGTGTCCTGTGGTGAGCTAACCCTTCCTCCCCTTGCTCTGTCTGCAGTGAGGTGAAAGCTCTTTGCCATCACATTGCCACCGAGGCAGGACAGCTGAGTTTCAACAAGGGGGATATCCTGCAGGTCATCACCAAGGTGGATGGTGACTGGCTGCAGTGCAGCCTTGGCTCCGATAAGGGACTGGTGCCCATCATGTACGTCACCCACCCGGAGGATGAGGACTATTGACATGGCTGGGAGGCCAAGCACAGTACCGTGGGCTGCTGAGGCTGCTCTGGGGAAGCCCACCCTGCCAGAAGAACAGACACAGCTTCTTGCTAGTTTCTTACCTTTCTTGCCATTACAGAATACAGTAACCGTAGGTGGTTCCTTCTTGCTCCTCCTTGTGCAGCTGCCAAAGGCCAGCTCGGCCCCCGGCGTTTTCTGCGAGCTGCACCTCGTATTGCCAGGCATCGCCGTGCATGCAGCCACACTGGGGACCGCCTGAGCCCCCTCCACCCCACACCATCTCCAGCACCCTTAGACCATGGACTCGTACACAGCAGGAACCGAAGCAGACCCTGGCAGGGCAGCACTGCCCCACTGCCCAGCTCAGTTTCATGCTGGAGGGTGCAGGTTGCTGGCCATCCCCTCCCTGGGGGTGGCAGTGCAGTCTGCAGCCTTCAGCATCCCTGGCATCATCAGCCGCAGGGGTTGGGAGCACCACACATTAGCAAAGTCTCTGCAAGGCTGGGCTGATGGGTTGCATTGTGGCT